TTAATTTTGATTAACGCCATATTTTTGCTGTTGTTAAAGTGCCACAATTTCCAACTATGTTTTATTTAATTTTCTCTAAAATAGTATGAAAATTTGGAAAAGGCATAAACGGGATTAACCATTTTAGAAGCAATTTTTTTTTAATGAAGAATACATTTTTCTAAAAATGTCAACAATAAAAAAGTTTTTCGTCTTGTAAATACAGTCCGGGGACATACTGTACATTAAAATTACAATATGTTCTAATTAAAAGAAATAAATATGTACAATATTCTTACATATATCGTATTTTGCTCTTATTATTATTATTATAAAAATTTTACCAAATTTTCATGTTTTTTTTTTTAATTTTCTCTAAAACGGTATAGAAATTTGAAAAAAAAACGGGATTAACCATTTTAGAACAAGCAAATTTTTTTATGAAGAATGCATTTTTCTCAAAATGGCAATAATAAAAGAGTTTTTCCTCTTGTAAAGACAATCCGGGGATATACTGTATAACTAACAGGGGAATCCCTGAAAGTTATACAGTATAGTTCCATCTTGCCTGAGTTGGATAGACTACCTATAACTTTTAGCAAGTTTTTCTTTAAATAAGAATTGAATAATTTATTTTATATGAATTATTATATTTGTCAACATTAATTAGTTGTTGAAACTATAAACTTAATATAGATACCGTATGACCGAATAAAAACGGCGTCAGCGATGGCTATGAAATGACGATCGATGACATTTCCCATATAATTTTACATTTAAAATGATTACAGCGATCTTCATTTCATAACCATTAGCCATCGCTGACACCGTTTTTATTTGATCATACGGTACTTATCCAATGTGATAAGAATTACGAATTCGATATACAGGGTGTCCCAATATTCCAACTACTATGTATTTTTGGAATCAAAATAAAAGTTCATGGGACACAATTTACCTTTATAAAATGCGTATGGTCCTTCTAGTATTTACTACATTTTTTGTCTCTTGTAAAAAATGCCACATCGCATAGTTTATGAGAAAAAACATTTTAGAGATTTTTTTTTCCAAACCAGACCTACAAAATATACAAAGAGTTCCAATATTTTGTGGCCATAGAACAACTACGTATTTTTTTAATCAAAAGAAGTTAATTGCACACAATTTACCTCTATACAAAAAAGTGCCTTGTTTGTCCGTTAGAGGTCAACAGTCAAGAAAAAACCCGAACGGAAATTAATTTAAAATTTATTTATCTTTTTAAGCTTTTTATGAAGCTTATTGTCAAATATAATTTGTGATACTATCATAAAATTTCATATTTTTGCCACCTAGGTAATAAGCGCATAATAGATTTTATGCGCCTACATATAGATTGATGTGACAAGAAACATTTTTTGGAAGTCAGCTTCGGAAAAATATTTTTTCCCTCAAAAAGTATGCACAATGGCGTTTTTTACAAAAGACAAAAAATGTAGTAAATACTAGCAGGACCATTTTCCAAAAAAAGAACTGGTCGTCGCGTCGGTGGAGTTGGAAAATATTTATACTAAAATTTATGTTGGGCTGGGGGTAGTTTTCACCCTTCCCGTACATTTTTTTGATTTTTGTGAAAGTCAAATGTAGATAAACACTCGCACTTAGCAAAACACAGACACCCAAAATGTCATTCAAATTGGAATAGTAGTACTTAAATTATCTTAAAAATAATGTGTTTGTTTTTTTTAAAGTTTGATGCCTTGTAACGGACAAATGAAGTACTTTTGTATAGAGGTAGAGGTAAATTATTATGTCCAATGATGTATTATGACCCCCGGAATAGATACTTAAAATTACAGAATAATTTCATACACTGTTCTCTCAAAATATGAAAATTTTTATTCCTATATTTCGTTAGTAAATTAGTACATATTCTTATATTTGCTTATACAGAAGATTTAAAGTATTGACAGTAAGTGTAAATAAAAATTAGAAACAAATATACAAATATATTCACATAGAAAAATTTTTGAGATTATCTCATAAATCACGATGACCAGTTCGGTTTATCTAAAACAAGTCTAGAATCTAAAACCATCATCAACTATAGTTCCCGATAGATTCTTTTATTACATTTTTAATGAGATATCTCATCATACGTTATCATCAGTGTATCTGATAAGATAAAAGATTTTGAAGAAAATACTTCATCGTAGGCTTGAAAAAACAGAAAATATTTTTTTTAGAAAATCACAGCCAGTATTTTCAGTATCTGATATTATTCTTTTTTTCATAATTATAGTTATTTTTATGCAGGAAGTACACACTCGCCGAGGGGACCCGAGGCGCCACAAAAATGCGAGGTCCAGCGAGGCGCCCCGAGACATTGCACAAAAACACACCGATAAAATTTTGCAGTACAAATAAATATATTCTGAAGAATATTTTTGTAAAAATAAAACAGGCGCTCAACGAGATAAATTTAATAACACTTTTGGGAAAATTTGGGCAAATTGTTTTCTTAAATCCAATTTAAAACCGACCTGAAAGTCGAGAAAATAAAAAAAAATTATGAAATCCACAAAATCAAATTGCATATATTAGTTTCAAACAGAAAGAGATAAATCCGCCTGTGATTATTTTTGTTTTCATTGTATTTTTGGTATTTTATAGAAGCATATTATACTCATCTACGCTGTTTTTTTATCCTTGCCTGTTACATCACAGATTATCATTCTATTGTCCGTGTTGGTCATGAAAAAAATCATGAAAACCAATATAACGTCGAAAATTATGACGTAACTGCCAAGGATCGAAACAAACTGTATTTTCGACTTTATGTTGCCGAGGTGTGAGGTGTATTAAAATTTCTTAAAAAAACATAAAGCTGCATAAATTATGTTTAACCAAACCAAACCAAACCAAACGTAAAATATTTGCTATTTTACCTAATAATATTAGAACAAACTATTTTACATTATAAAAAATAAATGTTTATTTTTAACTGAGGATAAAAGATATTGATCAATAATTTTGTAATTAGAGTAATAATTCTTGTATTAATGATGACAAAAAAGCGAAAACGGTGTCTAGAAAGTCTGTATCATAATATATTTCATGTACATTATAATTTTCTTTGTTTAAAAGACACGCAATAACGACACGTTTGTGTATACCAATAAAGACATGTTTTTTGCTAATTTATCTCAAAATGGATTCGTTTTGTTTGATCGCTTCTCAATTATTAAAATAAACGTAGTAACTTATAGAAACTAATGAATGTTTATATTAGGTTGGCAGTCATATCTTTGAATTTGAAGACTTAAATATCGAAAATATATAGGCGTCAACTCAAAGGCAGTTGAAGACAAACTAATAATGAATGCCGAGATTTCCCGAGAGCATCATGTATATTTTCGCGGGACCTCCTATTTAACGCTATCTCTAATTGTGTCTCTCTTTTATTTAATTTCTCTGGGCTCTCGTCTCCTTTGACTCGTACTGGAGACCGCTTCTAGACTTGTGTCTAGCCCTAGCAGGCAACTATTAAGCCCGACCAATCACGTTAGAGTTTTTGACAAACACAAATGAATTAACACACTCCACATAACCACTCTAACCAACCTGATTGGTCAAGCTTAATAGTTGACTGCTAGGGCTAGACACTTCTGCTTCTAGACCGAGCGCTCCCAAGACGAGGCGAGAGGCACCGAGGCAAAAGACGAGACCTCGCCCCAAGTACATACTCGCCTTGTCTCGCCTCGGGTCGCTTCGGCAAGTGTGTACTTGGTACAGAACCAAAGAACAGAACGTTCAGAATGCGAGGCGAGAGGGCCAGATAGCAGACGAGAGCCCCAAGCCCCAAGTACACATTCGCCTCGGGTCGTCTCGGCGAGTGTGTACTTGCACCATTAAATATCTGTTTTGTTAATATTACTTCTAGTAGTTATTTAATTTTACCTTATCAGCTAAGTTTTCTCTAGTTTCCTAATCAGCTCCATCTCCAGTTATTTTTTAGATTTTTAGTCCTATTTGAACAATGTTCCATGAGGATTGTTCTTTCGAGATACATATTCAAATCTGTTCTGTGATTCAAATACGTTTCCGACACTGTTACAATCGTTTTACAATAAAGACTTATCATATCGCAATTTTTTTCAATCGTATATTTTTATTTTTTACTGTTGAAGGTGTTAAAGTTTGTTATCGACTTGTGACAGATTGAAAATGAATCAAAGCCTACTAAAGGTATAAACTTAGGTATAAACACGTTTACTTCAAAATCTCATATTTTTTATAAGGATATAAAATATAAAATATAGGTGATAACTTGTGAAATAACAAAGGCAATAAAAAGAACAGTGTTCAAATTTGAAAAAAATATAGCGCTTAGATAAACAAATGTTAAAAAAATTCTTTAAGAACGTTGTAGATTTCTAATTCATCTTTCTTTCTTTTTTTGGCGTACCTTACCCATTAATACCTATTTAAACCTATAACGATGGGTTTTGTAGCTTCCGACTGTGCTTCCGACATTCCAATCGATTCAAATAACCATAAACCACAATGCAATAAGACTCTACGCAAATGTTCCTAGACGCCTTAAGGCGGACTCTGGCGACTATTGTACTTGGCAAGTATTTTTTATTGATATACAGGGACCCGCGATAGTGCAACGTATAATAAATAACTTAGAAATTCTGTATAGATACCCGACGCACCCTGTGTACGGTGTAGGTATATCAACTGATATCAATAATAATGTTTGTCAAGTACAAGAGTCGTCTGAGCCTTAGATTAAGAATAAAAAGTCTGAGCGCGCCATTAGAATGGTAAAACAGTATGTTAGTCACTGGCTTACTAAATTTATTCAGAAATAAAACACTATTTACTTGAGCTAGAACAATTTCCATATACAAAAAATTGAGGAAAAGTTATTATTTCGGGTTGTTTTTTTAAGATTGCTTGCTTCTTTTATTACTCTATCTACATCATTTTAAATTTCTCAAAATAGATGTGTTATTAAAATAAGAAAGACACACTAAGGTTAAATATATATTTATTAGAACAAATTAATCATTCCAACACAAAAATCACTGGACTTCTTTAATAACGTGCTTCTCCCTCTCAGGGACATATGGTACTTCGCCGCGTTTCGAATGTTTTCTTTTATTACTTTCCTTGCGCTTTTGTTTATCTTTAATTGTTCTAAGTTCTCTCTGAGCATTGTAAATGTGTTTTGGTACATGTCTATGCCGACTGATTCTCTTTACTTGTGGATGATTTGCAAACTTCTCCTTCAAAGCTTCACTGTAGCGCAAAGCAGTTTTCTCACGAGGCCTCAACTAGAAAAAAACAGAAGTTAAATGTTATAAAAATATTTATATGGATTACTGGTTAAAAAATGCTTACTGGTCCCAATTTTTCAGATGCCCTTGCTTTCCAAATTCTAATGTTCATTTCATCAGATCCACTAATGATAAATTTGTTATCCAATGTCCAATGAACACTTGTTATTCTCTGCATTCTCTTGGTATGATATATTTCTCTAGAGTGGCCATGACCCATTTCAAAAATCCTAATTGTCTTGTCGTAACTGCCGGAAACAAATTCTTTTCCAGTAGGTGCATACTCCAGACAGGTAACCGCTTCCACATGATCCATATGAACATTTACTGGTTTTTTAAGATTACGTGTATCAAAAGTATATAAACTGTAAATAAAAGAAATACACATAATTAAACAAGTTTATAGTCTTTTATATATTAGAATATCTAGAATACCTATTATTAGTACTAAAAATAACTATATTAAGTAACTAAAAAATAAGAATTAAAATCTAAACTTACTTATAATCCTCATTTGCACAAGTGAAAGTAAAGGCCTCCATAGGATTCCATGCCACTTTATTACTTCTTAGCTTCATTATAACTTTCCTAAGGGGACCATTATCACGTATATCATATAGAATTATACTTCTATCACTAGCACAAGCAGCTAAAACATTAGTTTCAACCATATTAAAGGCAATATCATGCAAAGTGTCAACACCCCACTCATAAGATTTAATGGGCTCATTTCTAGACTCTTCCCATACTTGTACAACTTCTCCAGAAGTAGCGAAAATATTGCTTTTCCTGTGATGACTAATCCCTGTTACAACTGTTTTACTAAGAATTGTGTTTACAGGTTCTTCCTCTTCACCGAACTGAGGTATTAACGACTTCCATGTTTTAATTATCTTGTCATCGCCAACTGATATAAAGTGTTCTCCTTTGGGAGTGTACACCAGCCCTCTAACAACTCCATTATGAGCCACAAATTCCCTAGTGCATAACTTTCGAGGTATATCCCATAATTTTACTTCTCCATCATATGCGCCACTTATAATAACAGATAACTGTTTAGGATGTTTAGCAATACACGACACACTATCGCGATGGCCATCTAAATTTCCAAGAAAAGGTTTGGCAAATACTTTCTCTAACTTAACCGCGTTTAGAGCTCTTGTATATTCCCTAGGAGCCTCGAATGGATGTAACGATGGGTCGTAATTTCTAAAAACTATTTAAGATTCCTTTACAATAAGCCATAACAGTGAATATTGTCTTACCCTTGTGTATATCATTCTTAGTTTCTCTTAGGTATTCATCTGGGGATCGAGTAATAACTTTTACTTTCATTTTAATAATATTCTACATGTATTTTACTTTCTACTTTAAAAAATAATAACCTAAAAAATAAGTCAAGGTTAAGTTCTAGTTAAATTAGGAGCTTCTTTTTTATTTTTTTTTTTTCTATTTTTGGCCACTTGTCTATTACGACATTCAGCCAGCTTATTTCTTAATATTTAATTAGCGTTTAAAATTGGACAAATACAGACTCACACACACATTTAACACCCATGTCCGAGGCCGGAATCGAACCGGCGACCTTGCGTCTACTAGAATGCGGCGCAATCATTTCGACCACAAGGCCGACTTCTTTTTTATATACAGGCTTTTAGTTAGTTAGCTTTAGCTCTATGGCTGAGCTGCCAGGGTCTTCCCCATAAAATAATTAACTAGAAAGAAGTGTCAACTCTGTGTTAAATCAGCTGGAAACACGATACGCCACCGAAAGCCTTCGTTGTCGTCTGAGAACTAATTTTCCAATTGACAGGTTGACATGATAAGGACATGATGGCTTAATTTTCATTCCGATTCGGTTATTCAATGGCGGGCTCTCTTTCAGTTCAAATGTATTTTGTATTTTTACTTTTTCATAAATAAAACCAAAAATAATTTATTCACATATATTTATTTGAAATATGGAACAACGTGACTAAATAAATATAAAAATATAGAGGATTGTATTGTTTCAATACCAATTAGTTAATTATATGTACTTTTAACGTAAATTAGTTAAGGTATAAGCATGACTTACAGTAATTTGTAAATAAACACACGTATTCGCAGACTTCAAGGACAGAAAACGGACACAGGGACATGAAAACGGGAGCCTTATACAAAAACCTGGGTATACCAAGAACATACCTGAAAACAGAAAAACAAATTTTTTTATACTAAAATTAACAATGTAAAAATATCAATATTAAATTTATTTAATATTGATATATTAGGTATAAAATATAAATATACTGTTTAAAAAAGCGTCCATTATTCCCAAAGAGACCTGGTTTATAAATCAAAAAAGAAGCAAAAGAGACTTTGGTCGGATAACATAATCAGATTATCAGTCCGATTTATTGCATTATTGACAATAAATCGCACATACTGGAGATAACTAATGTTGGCTATAGTTAAAAATGATCTTACCTTTGCTTGTAAATTGTTTCCATTTTTCAAAAATCGCCGATCAAAGAGATTATAACACCATTTTCTTGCATCTAAAAATGTAAAAACTGTTTATTTACTACCTATTTTTCATATACATGGGACATACCTATTACTGCAGAAACGTCATTTTCTCCAGAATTCTTCATGTAATATATATTTTATATACTTTATTACCGATTATCAGCCGAAATATTAAATTGAACTTCCAAAACGAAACTAAAGGGAATGAATTAAAATGGCGTCGAATATTTTCTAATTCGTTCTAGAACAAATCTAAAGTTGTCTCTGAAACCGCTATAAAATTAAAATGCTACAAACATTGTAGAAGAAAAGTAGTTTTTTCTTTTGGAAAGTTGCCACTCCTGACTCGCATTAAGGATGTCGTAAAGATGTTATGAAAGTGTCGATACTGTTAGCGGTTTACATCTTTTGTGACGTGAGATATGACATGAAACCATTATAACGTGCATCGGTCCGATTCGGGCAGTTCTTAGATCGATTCATTGAATCGATCCACCGTCTCGAATCGATTCAAAAAATCGATTATTTCTCGGTAAATAATCGATTTTTCGATTAATCGATCTGAGATCGACATCCCTATGACATTAACCATTAGCCTAACAAAAACACAATTTGTTTTTAAATATGCGTTTACTAAAATTATAATTAAAAAAATGTTTAAAAAGCTAATGTTAAAAATGCCAACGAATATATTACATTTAAGGTCTTACAGCTCCGACAGTAAGAGTATTATATCATTTTATATCTTAATACAAAAAATTGCGAACTTTTTAGCTGTAATAATTGAAAAGATCGGATATATTACCACAATAGGAATTAATAGGCCTGAAAAACGTAACTGTGTGGATAGTAATACAGCGAAAATATTAGAAAATGCAATATCTGAATTTGAAAAAGATAATACATCACTTGCAGCTGTATTATACGGAACAGGAGGGAATTTTTGTGCTGGACATGATTTACAAGAAATAGTAGATTTGCAACATAATAAAAGCAATTGGGAGCTGAGCATGGTTAGTTTTTTTACTCTGAACAGATCTATTCAAGGGAAAAGTATTCAATATAATATAGAATATCTTAATATACTCTTCCTAATTTTAATATTTTTTTTTTCCTGTTAAACTGTTTTATTAGCTACCTTCCAGGAAATATGTTAGTAAACCTATGGTTGCTGCTTTAAATGGTTTTACTGTAGGTGGTGGTTTTGAATTAGCTTTACTTTGTGATTTAAGAGTCATGGAAGAAACAGCAGTCATGGGATTTTATGGTAGAAGATTTGGTAGAGGAAATGTATTTTTCTAAATGGATTTGTTAATTAATCATATTATATTTTTAGGTATACCCTTAACAGATGGAGCAACAGTTAGATTACCAGCTATGATAGGCTTATCCAGAGCATTAGATCTAATTTTAACAGGAAGGACTTTAACAGCAAAAGAAGCATTTGATTGGGGATTGGCAAATAAATTAGTTGCTTGTGGAACATGTGAGTGCATAAATTATGGTGTGCACTTTAGATAATGTAAATACTAATTTGTTTATTTGTAGCCCTAGGTCAAGCAATTCAACTAGCTACATGTCTAATTAAGTTCCCACAAGATAGTTTGAAAATTGATAGAACTTCTACTTACAATGCATCATTTAACCAAGTTTATGATGAATTATTAAAATATGAGAAGGACAATTCAAAAAAAGTTAAATTATCAGATTTAGTAGAAGGGGCAAAGAAATTTTTAAGTGGAATTGGAAAACATGGCAAAACCTATAATATTACTGAAAAAGAGAGTCTTGAATGGGAAAATGAATTTACTAATACAGCAAAAAGTAAATTGTAAATATGTAATATACTGTAAATATTTTCCAGAGATTTTAAACTAAAATATATTTTAATGTATTTAAATCAGTTAGCCCGGTGGCCACTTCATCTGACGGCCACCCAAAACATGAATATGTAAATGGTAAACGGACTGGCTTCCTTCCTTTCCATTATTGATTACTATACGATAGCCTTTCGGCAACCTCTTTGCTGCTAAATCTTTAGCAGTTAATAATAAGTGACCAAGAAGCTTAAAGACAGCAATTAATTAGGAAATTTTACATTAGAGTTGAAAAAGTATACTTCTTTATGGTTTTCTTCACATTTTTCAATCATTGGAATTCTTTTCTTTGGTATAACAAGAAAGTGAACTGGAGCCTGAGGAGCAACATCATTAAAAGCTAGACACTGTTCGTCTTCATAAATGATATCGGCTGGAATCTGTTTAGCTAATATCTTATCAAATATAGTTTCAGCGTTTTTATCGTATTGGGATTTTTGTGCCTTTTCAACCTCACTACTCATCTACAATATTAGATCGTTAAATTATTATAGTTTCTAATAAAACAAAAAAACTTACCTTGACAACTGAAAGTAAAGATTTCCTGAGATGAACAATATTGGTTACTTTTGCTAAATTTAAGAAAATATTCATTTTATGTTATAGATAGAACCTACCTACCACTAATACATTACAACTGATTAAAAATTAAAATATTCCGAAATTCAGATAATTTAAACAATATAGCGATAAGCCTTGCTAAACATATCAAAATATTTTTTATAGAATCGAGTTCATAATCTGAAAAAAAAAAATATCATATATAAAATTGAAAATGCCAATCAAACAAAGAATCCATTCGAAACGGCCATATAGGTCGGCCTTGTGGTCGAAATGATTGCGCTGCTTTCTAGTAGACGCAAGATCGCCGGTTCGATTCCGGCCTCGGACATGGGTGTTAAATGTGTGTGTGAGTCTGTACTTTGTCCGATTAGAATTTAAGTTTAGATTTAAGTAATTGAAACGCTCTATAATAAAACTGGGAAACGCTCATATAATAAAATAAAACTGGCTGAATGCCGTAATAGGCAAGTGGCCATAAATAGCAAAAAAAAGAAAAAAAACGGCCATATAGTTCTGGCAGCTTAAGCCGTAAAAGTAATAAAAAAAGAATACATTCAAGGAAATCTTACTCTGTGGTTATCATGTGACAGAAACAGGTTATGTTTATTGTTGACATTTTTATAGAAAATTATTTTTATTTTTGCAATAATTGTTATTAAAATGACTGATAGCACTGACGATTCCGAATTTAAGCTTATTTATGAATTAGCCAAAGAGAAAATATTATTCGGGGAAGATCTAAAACGTTACATCGATGACAATAAGTTTATTGACGGGCTTCAAAAACTTGGTAGAAAAATTAACCAAGAACTAAAATTTTTGAAAAAAGTATGTAATAAGTTAATTATATGACAAAAAATACATTTTGCAGCTGCCACAATTAATTTAATTATGCAATTTTTAGGTAACCAAGAACAGAACATTAAAAAAGGAGCATTTACAATGTTCAAATCTCACCCATTTCTCATCTCTTATTGATACTTTAAAGACTGTTGAGAACTCTCAAAGTGTTAATAAAGTATTCTTATTAGATGATAGAAAAATTACTGTAGATATTATCTGTGATAATGGCCTTACATGGATGAAAGTTATAGCTCGAAATCCTAAGTCTTTAAGTCAGATTTATATGGGGAATTCAGGCTATGGAGTTCGAAGTATTGTAGATCAAGCCTTGGAATATATTGAGTGTGCTAAATTATATCCTTGCTTGTTTCAAACACCTAAGGTAAATTAAAATATCAGTCATAAAATGTTGAAATCGATCCAGAATCCAAGGCATTATTGTAATTATTTTTATTTTAGATTGTTTTTGTATTTGCCAATGGCATTGGAAGTACTTTAGCTACAAAATTAGAATATTATGGAATAATTGTTGAAGGAAAAAGAATCGATACTTATGATATTATAAGTGATTCAGACAGTGAAGATGAGAACAGTATATTAAAAAATAGTTTGCACTCCAATTCTCAAGACTTATCAACACAAAATACTGCAAATATAAAAAAAATCAATTTGGATGTTTCAGCAATGTTAGCTTATTGTTGTTCAGTGGCAAACGGTAGTGCTCATTTATATGACTTTGATGTACCTGTGCTTAAACAACAAGCCGAATGGGAAAGACAAAGGCCAGTGAAACCGATTTTGGACAATTTTTTTCAGGGTAAGTTTAAATAATATAAAATTAAATACATAGGAGAATTACAAATACATTCATAGGAGAATTACTTTGGAATTACAGTACCAAATTAGAATAAGAAATTAATTTTTAGATAAAAAATTATATTGTTGTCAAACAGCTAAAGATAGTTTTGAAAACATTGTAAACACAGTTGGAGGCCCTACAGAAAAAAATAGAGCTGCAGAATTTTTAAAAAGAATAACAGTACTTCCTGATGATGCTACTTATACTGATACAATAAAAGATAATGAAGAAACAACATTTAAGCAAGTACAGTTTACTTCAGACAAAACTTTATCCGTTGGTGGCAAAATTCGGCAGAGGTCTCTAAAAATCTTTATGTTTGGAGACCAAATACACGCTGTAACTGTTACATCAAATGATGGTTTTGTCAGAGCTGCAAAACAACAAGTAATGTAAATTAAATACTATTTGATGTTTTAAACTAATTTCTCTTTTTATTTTAGAACATCAATTTTGTTGTGTTTGTTCACGAATCTAGGGCTTTAACAGAACAAAAAGAAATGACTAAAGCAAAACCATTACAAAAATAAGATTGTATTTTTTTCAACATTTATAGAATAAATATTTATTTATCTTTTAAACTTTGCTTTTGGGCCAGAACATGGTCCAAAAAGTTAGCAAGCTTAATATTTATTTTTATATTAAGAGAAAGATATTATTTAGTTTTTATAACAAAGGATACTGCAGAAAGTCTTTAAGGAAAATTTAGTCACTATCAACTTCATTCTTATTTACTGTTCTTGCCCATATTGGATATAAACTAGCAAACGTTAAGTAACCTGTATGTCCAGGTTGCTGTGCTGGAGGAATTGCTGTTAAACATTTTTGAACTTCACGATCTTTTTTTTCCACCTCTTCTGTTTTCGGATATTTCAAAAACTCTACATCTAATGTAGGAAATTGTCGTATTTGAACATTATATTGAGTTTGAAGCACTTCTAAGGTTTGAATTTCTTGAAATCCAAAGTTTTTAAGTTCACAGCAAGTTTTTTGAACTTGCTCTATACATGGTGAAAATGAACAAAGTCTGCCTAAAATAGTAAAAAAAAAATATATCCAGCAAGAAATTTATTGAATGAATCCTACCTCCAATTGATTTTAGAGCTTTAACCGCATGAGGTACAGCTAACCATGGATGTGGTAAATCTAAGAAAACAGCATCTGCCTTTTCATTTAAATCTTCTCCAAATCCATTACAACACACATCTCTATGTGTTACAGTAACATAATTAGCTATAAAAAAATGAACTATATGTATTTTCAGTCAAATGAATCACTTTTACGGCAAAAGTTATATGTGCATATCAATATATTAGTGCAATACTAATGTAATAGAAATGTTTACCTAATCCATGATCTTGAAATTCTTGACCTGCAGTTTTTGTTCGAAGTTCATGAAAATCAAATGTATATAAATGCCCTTGAGGTTTAATAGCTCTGATTAGAGCATGGGACAAAGAGCCACTTCCTGTTCCGCTCTCAATCACAATACTACCTGGTTTAATTTCTAACTGTAGTATTATCATGCTTATATCTGGAGTGTAAATTATTTGGGTTCGATGAGGCAAAGTAATTGTCCATAGTTCTGGTGTCGGTTGTAATATATATCCCCAACCTTTACTCAATTGTATTTTAGTACCATATGTTTTTCCAATTAATTCTGCACACTTTAATGCTCCGTAAGGTGTTTGAAAGATATTCTCTACTTGTTGACCTTTTTTATTTAAAGTTTTCCCTTCCGCTTTTACATTGTACACTTGCGATATAGTAAGATACAATATAACAGTATCTCCTTCGTTTATTACTTCCTTATATCCATCAAAACTCATATTTATGACTACGATAAAATACAGTATTGTATAGTCATATTTTTATAACAGCCCTTTTTCACCGAAAATCTCAACTCGATACACAGAAAAAGCCCTTCTTTTTCTTCAGGATTCCGGTTACAAATACAAACGACCGTAGAATTAGGTTACTTGTTAGTTGTACTTTTATCTTCTTTTTTTAATTAATTTCAAGGCCTAAGTTGCTAGAACTGTACGGTCCATATAATACGTATATGATCCGGCTTAATAATAGGGTTGGTTGATTTTATCTTCTTTCAAAGTGGAGTTTATGGATGGAGAAATTTCATCTATCTATATCTCGTGCCGGTAAAGGTGTGGATCCGGTGGCTGACCTTGAAGCCTATATTTGCTGCATTTGATCATCGATACTACGCAAGCGCACATCGTCGATGTTGCCAAATTGCAGTTTATTTTCGAATTATTTTTACTTAATTATCTTGATATCAAAAATTAAGGTAAGAAGGATAATGAAGATTGTGAAATGAAATTATTATGAATATATAAAATTGTAATAATAATAACATTTATTTATATATTTACATTAGAATTAAAATTATCATTTAGGGATTTTTTCTTAATAGTTTTAAACTTATTAGAATTATTTTATTTCTTTCAAGTTATTTAATTTCTAGTTATTTACAGGCAAAATAGTTTTGATTATATGTATTGATGCATTGAAGTACTACCATGACGAGTCTTATAGAACAATACACGTCAATGGGAGATAGAGGTAACATTTTACCTATAATGTTACTAATATATATACTACCGTATGATCGAGAAAAAACGGCGTCAGCGATGGACGGCGTCAGCGATGGCTATGGAATGAAGATCGCTGTCATTTTATATGTAAATTTATACGGGAAATGTCATCGATGTTCATTTCCCAGCCAACTTGACGCCGTTTTTTTTCGATCATACGGTACTTTGATTATAATGTTTGTATCATAATTTCTTAAAAATATCAAGTTAGTGGATTAATAGCAATTTTAGACATATATTTTATCGAAGAGTGTGTTGATAAGACTAAAATAAGCTTTATGTTTTATCTTTTTCTCTTACGTTACAGTATTTAATATCGTGTACTTTGATATTCTTTTCTTAATTTACTGTAATTTCTTGTTTCCTATAATGCCAAATCTTGACAATATGGTGAAGGTTGAGTTTTGATCTTTATACAAGACCAAATTAAGACTTAGTTAGTTTGTGATTTATATTAAGATCTTTCTTATAATATTTGTTATGTCTTAATCTTAATACTATATTATGCTTTGTCTGGAAAATAAATGTTAAAATATCTTAATTTTGCATATCCTATTCCATCCTTCCATTAGGAAAAATATAGTTTATAAATCATATATGCTAAGAAAATCACATAAATTAGTTGTAAGAATAGAGAAATCGTAAGGTAGCAGAAAAATTAATGCAATATATGTATAAGCAGAATTAAACAAGGTAACTGTTAATGTTGCTGAAGCTGACTCTACAATTTTAATTACGGAGGCTAAAGGCCTTTTAAGGCCTCCGTAGTTTTGATGGAATGTTAAAAAAATCTATTATGAACATGACATGGAGCTACAGCATTTAAAAATTAAAAAAAAGAAAAAACTTGGACATATCCCTTTTAATTTCCCGAATTCTTCATAAAGCACTTTTTAAACGTAGCATAATAATCTAGAGCAATTAGATTAATTATAGAAATCTAGAGTTTTATTATTTATATTTAATTTTATTGACAATGAAAATACATAATAAGCGTTCACGTGTTGTGCGAAATATTAAAATAATAATATAAATAATATACCGCGTACTATGATTGAAAAAAAATAGCGTCAGCGATGACTATGAAATGAAGATAGCTGTCATTTTATATGGGAAATGTCATCAATCGTCATTTCCCAGCCAACTGGACGCCGTTATTTTGATCATACGGTATATATTGACAAAAAAAACACTGAAAAGCACATATTTGTTTTCTACTGAAAATAATTCCAAAATAACTTGCAATCTGGCAGCATTGAAGATGTGCGCATGCGTAGAGTCTGTGACTATATGCAGCAAAAACTCGTTTCAAGGTCAGCCACCGGATCCACACCATTACCTACCCTCGTGCCTACTTTTGATAACACAGAATTCGAATCGCAGTTCGAAAGAAAGTTTTCAGACGTTCACCCGTCCATCCACTCCATCCACTCGCTTCAACCCATATACGTATATGCTTCAACCCTTCTTCAACTAAAATCGCTTAACTTCAATGTTGCTTCAGTGATATTTCGGAAATCCGGGTGTATCGATGTAGCTGCCTTTTGTTGCCCAACCTTATCTTCTTTTTTACTTAATTGGCATCTACAACCAATTCTTGATCGTATATAAATACCATGATTTTATATACGAAGTTTCCAATGGCATATTTGCAATTTTTGTAATGAACCATAGCAACAAGGCAGTTGACTTTTTTATTTATCAAAAATCAAAATTGGTCAAAACATGACAGTGATGTTGACTGTAGTTATGACCATAAAATAATTAACTAGAGAGAAGTGTCAACTCTGTGTTAAATCGTGGAAACACGATACGCCACCGAAAGCCTTCGTTGTCGTCTGGAGAACTAATTTTCCAATTGACAGGTTGACATGATAAGGACATGATGGCTTAATTTTCATTTCCGTTTCCGGTTATTCAATGGCGGGTCCTCTTTCAGTTCAAATGTATTTTGTATTTTTTCTTTTCATAAATAAAACCAAAAAATAATTTATTCACATATATTTATTTGAAGTATGGAACAACGTGACTAAATAAACATAAAAATATAGAGGATTGTATTGTTTCAATACCAATTAGTTAATTATATGTACTTTTAACGTAAATTAGTTAAGGTATAAGCATGACTTACAGTAATTTGTAAATAAACACACGTATTCGCAGACTTCAAGGACAGAAAACGGACACAGGGACATGAAAACGGGAGCCTTATACAAAAACCTGAAAACAGAAAAACAAATTTTTTTATACTAAAATTAACAATGTAAAAATATCAATAGGTATAAAATATAAATATACTGTTTAAAAAAGCGTCCATTATTCCCAAAGAGACCTGGCTTATAAATCAAAAAGAAGCAAAAAGAGACTTTTAGTCGGATAACATAATCAGATTATCAGTCCGATTTATTGCATTATTGACAATAAATCGCACATATTGGAGATAAATGATGTTGGCTATAGTTAAAAATGATCTTACCTTGCTGTAAATTGTTTCCATTTTCAAAAAAATCGCCGATCAAAGAGATTATAACACCATTTTCTTGCATCTAAAAAATGTAAAAACAGTGTTTATTTACTACCTATTTTTCATATACATGGGACATACCTACTACGGCAGAAACGTCATTTTCTCCAGGATTCTTCATGTAATATATATTTTATATACTTTATTACCTTTATAATTATAAATTTCAGCCGAAATATTAAATTGAACTTCCAAAACGAAACTAAACGGAATGAATTAAAATGGCGTCGAATATTTTCGAATTTGTTCTAGAACAAATCTGAAGTTGTCTCTGAAACTGAAATCTGTCAATTCTAAACTGTGAAGTTAGACAATAGTTAGACAAAAACAATGCTGTCCTTGTCTAGGCGGCCATACTTGTCGTGAGGAGAATGACAGGAATGACACTAATGACTGTTTCCAATTTTCCTATTTCACTGTCACCCCCCTGGTTATGACGTTTGGTTTGGTTTGGTATTCCAATATAATTCCAATCTTTGATTCCAATTACCAGAAAGCTGAATAATTTATTTCTCTCATTTTGTAATATTAGTAACTTGCAGATTAGAGAGTTAAAGAAATATTGTGAAATGTAAAGTATTTTAAGATTACCTGCTATATTTTTAGCTATCAAATAAGGTTCTCTATGATAAGAGGCGATTTGTATAATAAATATACAATAGTATCACAATTTGGGCTCATTTTATTAAGTGGAAAACAAACATGAGTAGATTGTTTTTTCCATTATCTGGAAAATGTATTTACATTAACATGTTAGTCAAGTGGTTATAATTTTCATAAAGCTTGTGCTTGAAGTTATCCAAGTTATGAAATCTATAATATGGTAATTAAGTATATCTAAATTTAGTCAGAATTGTTAAACAAACAAATACTATGGAGGATTTGAGCCCTAGTGACGATGCGAGCGTGTATGATATATATGGAAAAACACCTCCTAGGACAAAACTTCTAAGAAAAAATAGAGAAAAAAAGCAAAAATACTTATCTGGGTAAGCAACTAATTAGCTATTAATTAACACATTTGGTGTGTTTTCTCATTATTAAGATTTCAATTCTATTTATTATCTGTTTTATGATCTTTTAATATTCATATTACTGTTAGGGAATACTTCAATTATTACTTTTAGGTCGGATACATCTGTAACAAAGCATCATAAACATAAACATTCTTTAACTAGGAGAAATACAGTAAGCACAATGTATGATGAACTTATTGCTAATGCTGACAAATCTGACTCTGAACAAGGTGTGTTTTGCGTTTACACATAATCTTATTGAGAATTGTGTTAGAATTTATTAATACACATACATAAAATAATACAGAATATTTTTTGGCATATTTATATTTTAGGTTTTGCTGCTAAGAAAGTGAATAAACGTAACATGAAATTATTAAGAGGTTCAGAGAGAGATCTAAAGTTGGATATTGTTAGTGCTCAGGCTCCATTCCAATATGGAGGCCCCAAAAAACCATCACAGAATTGGCACAATACACCCAAGACTCCTTTACCCAGTTATCAAATTGAAAGTGGAAAAAGGTAGATACTTTCAGGAATTTTAATTTATTATTAATTCAGTAAAAACCTATTACAGAGAATAAATCATTGTGCAATATATACAAAATTTATTTTATTTGCAGTTTCATTACTAGCAAATGATTATTTTTTGAATTTTTAAATTTATATACTACAGGGTTCTGAAAAAGCCCTATATCAATTTTTTTTCATACTTTGTTTTGTTGTAAAAGAAGTATATAGGCAGTTTATAGATAATAATATCTTGTATATTATACCAGATATACTTTTGAAATAGAATGCTGTGTATATTTCCATTTTCATTACAAATATTTCCTTATGTTATAACTTATACCAAATGGTTTTTAAAATATGACCACAGTAGAGAGAATATACATACAATAATTCTACATATTTTAGTTTCTTTTAAAGTTATAAAATTGCTAAATATCAATAGTTCTTAACTTAATAATTCTTAATGTAAATTATTTTATTATGATGTTTGGGATGTTGGCGTATTGTATCTACCATACAATGTTTACATCACATTAAAAGATGTCTTTTCTTTCTCTCTACTGTAAAATTTTAAACATTTTAGTTATGACACTTTGTGTGAGCATACTAGAAGCATACTAGAATATTCTTAAGACAAGTATGAGAAGTATGAACGGCATTTTCTTAATGTTAATTTCCTAGGGTAATTGTTAAGTGTAAGGTTAGGACTAATAATGGAACTATGAACCAACCACAAATTCTCTCCATTATTTCCAATGAAACGCTCTGTAGTTTATAGCATAAATCAACTGAACTTTTATCGAACTTGATGTTTTGCTAAGCAGCAAACACTTCCTACACCCAAAATTGATATTGGTTAAAAAAATTTAGTTTTTTGAAAAGCAAACAGGTGTTTTATGCTTTTTTATTACTGATACACTTGAGAGATCACGAGATTACTGACATTTGTTGTTAAAAGTGACATATCTGCAACAAAAACTGAGAGTTAGTTAAAACATCTTATGACGGTTTCGACTGGGCTGCACCAGTTCTATTCGAATGCTCTAAGGGCGAGCAACTGCTCAAAGAGTTGCACTTGCACAGTGCTGGAGCGAACTCAAAAGGGGGAATCGCAAAACCGATCTGGTTCGATTGGCACCGATTCGGTGCTTATTTATATGCATAGACAGAACCCCCTTATAACCTCATTGGACGGACAGAACCGACCATGTATGACGGTTTCAAAATTATTGTACTGAGAGCTAGTTTACGAAGCTGCTCTGATGCAGCCAAACGAAAAAAACAATCCTTACCGGGTCAGTGCGACGCGAGTCGAACACAATTATTTTACATTGCTATTGCTTTGCTCTTACCAGTCGAAATTGTAATTCTGTTCGAGTTCGCATTGAGTGCGGCTTAGTGCAGCCAGTCGAAATCGCCATTAATGATTTTTTTGCTTTATGAATTAATATACAGGATGGTCCGAACTGTATTCCGGAAACTTCGGCAGCATATTCTGTAAATAAAAGTAAGTAAAAAAGTTCTTATGTATGTCTTAAAATGCTTAGTTTCGGAGATACAGGGTGTAGAAGTTTCATTTTTCTTTTGACTTGTTCCAAATAATTTCTGATGTGACGCCAATATTTGGATGAAAATTGGTGTCTGGTAGTTTTTTTGACATGAGAGATTTGAATTTGATGTCAATATGAATCCTACTTGTAGAGGGCCCCACTGCATATTTTTTAACTGGTTGGAATAATAACTTTTCGTCCGTACCTGTGTAAAACTACTGAGTAAAAAAATATACATTTACAATATACATACGACGTTTTTTACGTAAAAAAGGTCTCTTGTTAAAAATCGCTACGAGTAATGGTTTTCGAGATACTTGGAATCGAAATTATCAATACCTGTCATCATTGACATAAATTAAACATGTTGACTAAATAGCTAGACTGAAATTATAAATTTAAAATGTTTTGTAGCAAAAGTTCAACTGAAACTGTTTTATCATCATTTTTTCGAAGAAAAATTTATGATTAATTTAAAAATATAAAAAGTTACCAAATTTATCATCACAGTCAAATGTTGTTTATTTTTTGTCAATAATGACATGTATTGACTATTTCCATTCTAAATATCTGGAGATCGGTTACTCGTAGCGATAGTATCTCAGAAACTAAGTAGTTCAGGACATACATTTATACGAACTTTGTACTTATTTTTATCTGCGGAATATTATGCTGCTGAAGTTTCCGGAATACAGTTCTGACCACTCTGTATACTGTAAATAATTCTTAATAAAATAGAAAATTGTATTAACTTTCAATTTTAGATACTAAAATTATATATGAAGACATAAAGTTGAATAAAAACTGTTAATTTATGTCATAAAATATTACAGCATTTCTATCTGAAATTACAGAAAAAAATACATCTCGTTTTGACTTGTATATGTTTATGCATTATTGTGTATTTAATATGCTTAATTTTGAAAGGGGACTCTATTAAGTTTTCAAATATATAATTAAAAGAATTTTCTATATAATAAATTTTCATTTAGTTTTAAATGTGCAGAAAGTTCAGTGTGAAAATAGTCATTCCATATGGGTGGTATGCATGGTATAAAGAAAAATGGGTGGTATGTACTTCAAAGTCCATTCAGTATAGATTATGACATGATGGTATTTTTGGAATAGGAATTTTATGGAAAATTCACTAAGCAAAAAATATACAGCATTCGAGAACATTCCGTTTGACTATATCTTACTCATATATATTTCATTATTATTTCAGATTTATGAGTTTAATGTGTAGAACTATACCTTGCCATAAACAAACCGGGGAATCGCGTAATTGTAAAATTCTAAAAGACTATGATTTTACCGTCAAAGGAACCTCATCTGATTCAATTGAGTGTCCACAAAGTAGAGTAGACTTTTATCAAACTTTAAGTGTGTTAATTAGAATGGGAGGAACAAAAGATGAAAGAAATCCTAGAAGAGTGGTGAGTGCTTTTTCCAAATAAGAAATAAATAGAAGTTAAAAAAAATATTAATTTTATATTAAAATTTCAGATGAGTCGAGAGGAATCACTCTGGCAAAATGAACTCAAGGATCTTATTTGGCTTGAACTGCAAGCATATCATGCTGATAGAACTACAATTGAAGAAGATGAATATCTGTGTGCTGCAAGAGAATCTGTAGAACCGCTTTTACAGAACATTATGAATTACCGATTTCGCAGGTTAGTTAATGAAAAATATAAATTAGGTAGATTATTATTTTATGTATATAGGGATGTTTACATACTATATTTTAACCAATAACATTTTTTTTAAACATTGGTTTTAATAAAAAAAAAATTTAGGGTTTTGTCCGAATCGTCGCATTTCAATTTTCAAAGTAACAAATAGTCATCAGAAAGTGACATAAGTTGTATTTTAGCGCTTTTGATTTGTGTTCTGTTTTAAATAAAAATATCAATATTTTCATTTAACACCGATTTGTGAACATGTTTTAAATTATCAATATCTCGCCTCCTCCATTGGTAACTTGATGAAATTTATCATCTTAAGATGTAGACTTTACTTGATAATTTCAAATACATAATGTGTTCATCTATATAGCCAGTTAATGTTTGTTACCATAATCGTGTACGGATAACCATTGTAGAAAGTTCCGTTTTTTTTCATATAAAATTTTTAGACGTTTTGCTACAAAGTTATTTGTTTGTACAAGGTGAACCAAAATCACAATATACATATATCTTAATCTCAATTAGCACAACCACGTTCACCAAGGAGTGTTGAGTGTTATGTCACCTTTTGTATATAAGGAGTAATTTATCGCTATGACATATTATATCAAAGATATGTTTTTTTTTTGTTATTGGACATGTTCACTATAGCTAATCAAGCTAACTGACAATGCTTAATATTTTTACAATTTACTTTTATCAATACATCAATAGTAAAAAGATGTATTCTTTTGTCAAACTTTTTGGCATACTTTGTATAAATATAAAAAAAATAGTCAGGGATTTTACAAATTTTGGTACCTTCTCTAGGTAGGTATTCATATTATATAATAACTGAATTTAGGCATTCAAGGAAGTATAGTTCACAAAACAGCGATAGCGGCGTAGAAGATGACTGTCCTGGTTGTGCTTCTATTTTCTGCGTTTCCTGTATGGAAGCACAAAATGAAGCACTAAGGGAAATTGAAGGATTAATGAAGAGACTGGAAGATGTTGAAGCTTTATTCCCATCTTCAAAAGCCTTTGCAGAATTATACCCTTTGTATAATAGTCCGGAGTTTGTTAGTAGGGTAAGTTGGATATGTTTCATCAATTAAATTTATACAGGGTGACCGTTACAGGCGTAGCGTTTTGAAAAATATTCCATATATCAGTATTCTGTAGTATTCTGTTATAAAACTGTTAAGCCAATTTTTTGTCTACCGATTGGTTGACAACTGACGTTTAAAGCAGTGTTTATCTGTCGACTACAATGACTAAAGAATCCAAGAACAAATAACACCCGAGAGCAAATTGGGACGATGTCACCAAACAGTGCCGTCGCACATATTTTTCTTAACCTAGCTGTTTGAAGCAATATTTATATTTTTTGATAATTGTTTTGACTACGCCTATGGTGTATCATCCTAATTAATTACGAAAAAAACGTATTAAAATGTTAACAAAAGGTACAAAACTAGTATCGACGTATAGCACATATCAAGTACATATAGATGTTAATTGAAATTGAAGAATAATTATCGAATTCAATAAGAAAACGCTAAAAAGTTGGAGTGGACTGTTTATTTACCTACTGAAGCGTAACTCCTGACTCTTTCTTATCAGCACTGCTTTTAAAAGGTCACAAATTCTGCTGCAGCCCGTATAGGGGCGTTACATGTCCTTATATTCTTTGGTCATTGGTCGACTATAACCAACGGTTGTTCACTCGAAACTGGCTTTATTTTTAAAATGAAATTGCTAAAAAAGACAAACTATTGTAGGGTGGTCTCCTCCGAAAACGGGAGTGTTTTCGAATAGTTACATTTAGATATTTTAAATAGTTTTTTTTTCTCTGTTCTTTGGATTTTTTTGCTTCCGACGACGGGAAGAGATATACTTCCCGAAAGGTTATTTTGTGCGTTAAGCAAATTTGTTTATTAGTAAACCACTGCTAACAATTAGTCTTCGTTGGATTAACGCAGCAATGTTTACATAAAATAACTATTTTATTTTGTATATTTTCTTACAGTTGCGAAATATCCATAGATCTTTTTGGAAGGAATGGACACAGAGTGTGGGGTTGGCATTTTTTAACCCCTTATAGCCACGAAACAATCACCCGGTGTACCAAGATAAAAAAAAATTAAGCATTTCATTTGAAAAATAGCAACAGTAGTAAAAATATATAGTTGAATTACCCTGTAAATCTATGGAAATATTTTTTAAATATGCGCTATCACTACCAGCATATTTTGTCAAAAAAGAGTGAACTGAAAAAGGTCCGGTCAATAACCTGACATGGAAGTTTTTCAGAACATTGTGACGCCACATGTTTTACACTGTATAAAGACAAATTACGTTATACACATTTAGAAAGAATATATACCGGGTGCGTCTCGAAAGTGACTCACCCCTATAACTTTTTTATTTTTTCAGATAAAAAGAAATGAAATTTGGTATGTTAGTATATTACATAAATTAGGATTGATTGACGTATTCAATTGTTTTTGGTCACTTCCTGTTTCACCGGAAGTGACTATAACTTTTGATTTTTAAATGGCAATTTTACAAATGGGTATATTTCTACTTTATTCTATAGAAAATGATACTCTGAAAAGAATGACATATCATATGTCAACTTTTGACATATTTTTTTGGCATATTGTTTATTTTAAATTGTAACATGCGGTTCATAACGAAAATTTGACTCGAAATACCAAGCGTGTGTTTTAGACGATGAATCTCTAGGGCGTTAAACTCAATGATTGCACAAAAATACAGTAAAAGGGGTTTATTTGGCGTAAATCGAGAACAAAATACAAAACAGCTGTTTACGCCAGGCGCGCGCGGAACAAGTGAATGATCGGCGGCTGACAGGCTTCAGCGAGCATTGTGCGTCGACGGTGGCGCCCTCCCACCGATCGTCGCTGGTCACTTGCCGAACTACGGCCAATACTCGCGATCCCTATTATGCGAGCGACCAGGAGCGCGAGTGTTGACTGGTGATGCTAACACGGCCAATCCTGACACTTCGGCGTCCCGACGATCATTGAGGTCCAACAACTCACTCTGAAAATCTATATTTTCATCCAGAGAACCACATTCTTTAACAAACACAACTTGGTTTAACAGAATCAACGACATCGTACTAACGCCGCGCCGCAGGTGACTTAAACAACACGTCACAAGACCGATTATTTACAAATCACAACATTTCAGCCCATAAATTGTCTCAAAACTCAACATAATAAAACAGTTCGATAATCATCTAAACACGACATTGACTCAGAGGCTGAGCCCATTAACATGACCTCGTCGTTTCTAATGCAAAACACGGGTTCAGCGGTTAAGGCGCACCAGCATGGAACAATCGAGACTAGATCAACTCAAAATATCAACTTTAAGTATAACTTAGTACAGTTTAAACACAGATTCAGAGGCTGAATCCTTGGCATGGCTACGACGTTTCTAATGCAAAACACGAGCTCAGAGGCCAAGGCACTTCAGCATGATCAAAACATTAATATATCAAAACAATTCAACAAAGTTTAATGATACAACACTGAGCCCATTAACATGACCTCGTCGTTTCTAATGCAAAACACGGGTTCAGCGGTTAAGGCGCACCAGCATGGAACAATCGAGACTAGATCAACTCAAAATATCAACTTTAAGTATAACTTAGTACAGTTTAAACACAGATTCAGAGGCTGAATCCTGTGGCATGGCTACGACGTTTCTAACGCAAAACACGAGCTCAGAGGCCAAGGCACTTCAGCATGATCAAAACATTAATATATCAAAACAATTCAACAAAGTTTAATGATACAACACTGAGCCCATTAACATGACCTCGTCGTTTCTAATGCAAAACACGGGTTCAGCGGTTAAGGCGCACCAGCATGGAACAATTGAGATTAGATCAACTTTAAGTATAACTTAGTACAGTTTAAACACAGATTCAGAGGCTGAATCCTGTGGCATGGCTACGACGTTTCTAATGCAAAACACGAGCTCAGAGGCCAAGGCATTTCAGCATGATCAAAACATCAATATATCAAAACAATTCAACAAAGTTTAATGATACAACTTTACCTTCACTTTTAAGATTATCTAACTCATTCCAGGCCTCTTGGCATTTTGTAGCTTAGATATTATTTAAAATGAAATGAAAGACAACTGCTCTGTCACTTTACTCTTTACTTGACATACTTTACTCTTTGCTCTTCAACTCTTTTTGCCTCTTTACCTTTTTACTCTTCGACGCGTACTTATTTTAGACAGTTTCCCTTAGGGTCACTATTGTAATTATTTCATCATAATTAAAGTTAAGTTATTAAAAACAGCAGTGTACATTACCGACAGAACAGGACCACAACAAATCCCGTACAACCCATCGTAAATCAACAGGCTGCTCACAAATAGGCTGTGACGTTCATTAAACATATTATGAAAATACTTTTAAAATTACCTATTTTCCAAGACGTAATCAAATACTAGCCCTCGACTATAATGAACAAAACATATCGTTGAAAGATCTATTCAAATTATAAACAATACACAAACTATTTTACCTGCAAGTAATGTGGAAAACGCAGATTCTGGTAACCTCTGCCCTAGAGATGGGCAAAAGTAACCGGTTTTTTTGAATAACCGGTATTTTCCTCTAAAATAACCGGTTATTTAAAGGTAGTTTTTTTTTACCAGTTAACCTAATAACCTTGCATTACGTTCAATAACCTATAGCCGGTTTTTTTTAAAAAAATCGTACTTGTTTAAAACAAGTAACAATTAAATATTAGCTGTTTGAATCGTAAATTTCGAAGAAGCGAACGGCACGGATCTTCCCGATATTTTGACGATAACGGGAGATCCGCTCCCGTTCCCAAAACGAAAATATATGACATCAACATCAAATGTGAAAATTAAATCAGGCATCAGGCGAACGCTGATAATAATCAAAACAACAGCCGAATGGCCCTGACAGGTCAGGCCGTAAAACAAAGTACTAATGCCATAGCCTACTACTAGCCACCAGCTAGCCAAGTGATACGAACCTAACTTCAAATAGATTCTCTAAATTCTATATTTAAATTTTAACCGACTTTAACGGATTTTCAACGGTTCTTCAAAAGTTTTCCATGGTTTCGCCCAGTTTCACCGTAAATATATTTTATTTGTAGTTTGAAGTCTCTCTTGAAGCTTAGACTAAGAATACAAAATTGAAGTTCAAGTAATGAATGAAGATAATCTTTCATTATTTATTCATTCAGTCTCCTTATTTTTCTTTGGTGTTTGATTAAAATAACTTGGTTGTAGATTGTAGAACTTGTGAGTTGTGTGGTTTATTTGAACGTTAAGTAATTACTAGTTTTAATATCATATCCATGTCTACTAAAAAAAAATGAGGTTAGCATTTTTATTTAAATTCATTTTGTACATATACATACTTACATTGCTACAATCTCTATTTAATCATGCGATTTAACTAAGTTTATTATCTAAATTTGAAGTAGACCTATGGAGTGTAGAGGTAAGTAAACCTATAGGAAAACTAAATATTTAGTTTTGCTAGGTTAGGTTATTTGAATAACCGGTTAATTTTGTCAAGTTTTTATTTTTTAAAGATAATTCCGGTTAACCTATAACCGGTTTCTTACCAATAACCGCCCATCTGTACTCTCTACCCCAAATACGTTTAAATAAAATACACGACGGCCTCCCCATAAGAGCAATGAGAGGATTTACGTCCCAGTATTGAAGGAGGACAGAAAATCGAGTCGAATGGTTTCAAGACATAGGTTCATCTTTGTTTAGTCAAACCTCCTACAAACCAAGGATAGACTTATGTAGGAAATACATTGAAATTCTATAGCCATCCAATATCGGGACAGGAATTTAAGCAGTACCCTCCGTATACTTTATTTTAAACGTATTTGCTCTACCCGGACGCTCGGACTATCATTGTGACGTGCGCGCTAGTTTGGATCAGTCCATTTTGAAGGGGAATCGCCGTGCGCTAGTTGGACTAGTCCATTTTCAAGGGGAGTCGCCGTGCGCTATTTGGATCAGTCCATTTTGAAGGGGAGTCGCATGTGATCCATATTTTTATTGACAAAAACTTTCCTGTATTGCTATTTGTCATGCAATTAGAAAAACTTATTCAGAATTAAAATATAAATGGTGTGGCTGATATTTTAAACCACCATTCTGGTACTAATGTATTTACCAGTAATAAACAGATTATTAAAACTTATTCAGACAATTTCAGACTATAAAAACTTAATTAAACTTAAATCGCTATGAAATAATGCAGAAAATACTTGTTTTAATAATAATCATTGTAATATTTCCCTCCTTAACTTTATACAGGCTTCAACTGCTTAATATAAATGCTGTAATGCTCAATCTAAATGCGGCAATGCTTCCTGACTTTTGAGACATGACGCCGTGACTCATTTTCTTTGAAAATTTACTTTATTATTATTATTACTGAACTATTAACTTTTCGTACTCTTTCAAAGCCATAAACAGGCAACCAATACTTTCGATTTGTAAATCTAATTAGAAACTGTGTACTTATCTTATTCAACTGCATCCTCCAAGTTTCACCATGCCACTCAACAGCTTATTGTGGTGTAAGTTCTATCCCACTTCTGATTTTAGACGATGAATCTCTAGGGCGTTAAACTCAATGATTGCACAAAAATACAGTAAAAGGGGTTTATTTGGCGTAAATCGAGAACAAAATACAAAACAGCTGTTTACGCCAGGCGCGCGCGGAACAAGTGAATGATCGGCGGCTGACAGGCTTCAGCGAGCATTGTGCGTCGACGGTGGCGCCCTCCCACCGATCGTCGCTGGTCACTTGCCGAACTACGGCCAATACTCGCGATCCCTATTATGCGAGCGACCAGGAGCGCGAGTGTTGACTGGTGATGCTAACAGTGTGGTACCAAATTATTTGTAAAAAATGCTTTTTCCAAATATGCTAATGAGCCGCCCTTATTCCATTTGAAAAAATTGAGATGTTATTAAAAATCCGATTTGGGCATCTTAACCATCCAGAATAAGAACACGAAAAACATTAGAAGATTAAAACTATTTTTCTAAGGCTCCTTGATTAAAAATTAATGTTTTTAACACAGCCATAGAACTCTAGATTGAAATTTAAAATAAGATTTGTTTTTAACCGAAAATGTCAAAAGTTGACATATGATATGTCATTCTATTCAGAGTGTCATTTTCTATTGAATAAAATAGAAATATACCGAAGGTGCCATTTAAAAATCAAAAGTTGTAGACATTTCCGGTGAAACAGGAAGTGACCAAAAACAATTGAATACGTCAATCAATCCTAATTTAGTCAACCTGAGTCAAATGAAACGCATGTTACAATTTCAAATAAACCATATGCTAAAACGTCAAAAGTTGACATATGATATGCCATTCTATTCAGAGTGTCATTTTCCATGGAATAAAGTAGAAATATACCTAGGGTGCTATTTAAATATCAAAAGTTGTAGACATTTCCGGTGAAACAGGAAGTGACCAAAAACAATTGAATACGTCAATCAATCCTAATTTATGTCATATACTAACATACCAAATCTCGTTTTTTTTTATCTGAAGAAATAAAAAAGTTATAGGGGGTGAGCCACTTTTGAGACGTACCCGGTATACATATGTATTCATATAATCTTTCCAATAAAACATACTTTCCAAAAATTAGCCTTTCTTTGAAATTGCCCCTTTTTTAGGTAAAAGCTATAAGTTTATGGTTTAATATGACGCGAATTCAAAGACTTAAACTGAATATTCTGGCGCGTTTGGTTCTCTGCTTAGAATCGAGACATTCAAATTGGCCGGTACTGTGCGAGGATGTAACATCAGGATCGTCTTCGGATAGTAACAACAGTACTGGATCCTCTGTTGTCGAATTTTGCGTCAACAGAAACGATATGTACAACATTGTTCCTTTGGCCATGTTCATTAGTAAAAAAGATGACAACAATATATCGCCCTATAGGCGGTATATCGAGAATATATTGAAAACCAGAGCCTTGTATAAAAGTTTGAACTTTTTGGAAGCTTTGCACCACAATGTGCTTGAAAAAGTACAAATCACGTTGGAAAAACCAAAAGATATGGAAATTTTTTCTAAGGTAAAGCTTCTATATTGCAAGATTTAGTGACTGATATTTGAAGATTCTATTTTTTTAGATGAATTGCGATTCTCAGGAGGAAGAATTACATAGATTTGGTAGTTGGAGCCCTGAAGCACAAAACATTGATCTCCCATCTTACAAATCGATGTTTTTATTCTTGACTGGAGTACCATTAGAAGTTATACAAGAATATTTACAAATGAGGTTAGAACAGAAACCTGAGAATCCCTCTCCGTTAAGTGTTAGACAATTGATGAGGGAACTTAAAGAAGGTAACATTTTTATTTTTTTGTTTATTTCAATAAAAATGAAAATGTTTTGAAAAAATTAGGCTCAAACAAAAAAAAATGTTCAAATTTTTATAATGGAAAAATAATTTTAGAAACACATTTGAATTATTGAACTTGTGAAATGTAATGATAAAACAACGTTTATAAAGAGAATATATCTCTGTTCAGTATTACATTTGATAATTGGTGAGTTTGCGCATGTGTCTGAAATTAATTTGGCTAATGTCAAACCATAACCTGTCATAGAATAGGCTTAGGTTAGAATGATAAATCTGTGACGTTAATTGTTTCTGCTTTGTTTTGGTTTTGTCACACTATAAGGATTGTGACTAGTATGAACGTGTGAATATTGTCTACTTTGTAAAAAAAATTGTTTGATAAACTGCTTTGTATTTCTTTTATATTAACTTATGAATCAAGAGAATTGTAAATGGTGAGTGCGTTGGTTGCTTTACGTAAAATAAATATTTGCTATGATTTTTAAATTTTCTGCTTCTACTATAGAGGGATCTGAAATTCCTGGATTAACAGACACTGAACAGCACATATTATTGCAGTTGGTTTGTTCTTTACTTTTGAGTCAGAATGGCAGATATTGGCGAAATATTGCATAGATTTAAAAAATAACGTTAAAGTTAATATTACGCATGGTGATAGAAATATAACATAATTACAGGGCTTAAAATCTGCAGTGAGAGTGGTGCTTTGATGTGACAAGCCTTGAGCATTGTATACCTTCAGCGTTCTATACCGGGTTGTGAAGTCTCATAAGTGGCTCACCTCTATAACTTTTTTATTTTTGCAGATAAAAAAACGAGATTTGGTATGTCATATAAATATATATAATATATGACATAGATTAAGATGATTGACGTATTCAATTGTTTTCGGCCACTTCCTGTTTCACCGGAAATTACTACAACTTTTGATTTTTAAATGACACCCTCGGTATTTTTTTACCTTATTCGATAGAAAATGAGCCACCATCATTCCATTTGAAAAAATTGAGTTATGATTAAAAACATGATTTAGACATATTTTAACTGGCCAGGACAAGACACGAAAAACATTAGATGATCAAACCTATTTTTCCGAGGCTTCTTGATTAAAAATTAGTGTTTTTAACTTTTTTTATTTTTTTTAAGCGAAAATGTCAAAAGTTGACATATGATATGTCATTCTATTGAGAGTGTCATTTTCTATCGAATAAAGTAAAAATATACCGAGGGTGCTAGTTAAAAATCAAAAGTTGTAGTCATTTCCCGTGAAATTGGAAGTGGCCAAGAATAATTAAATACATCAATCAATCCTAATTTATGTCATATATTAACATACCAAATCTTGTTTTTTTTATCTGAAAAAAATAAAAAAGTTATAGGGTTGAGCCACTTTTAAGACGCACCCGGTATACAGGTTGTCCTAGGCTGAGCGTGCATTAGAAGTTTCTAGAGAACTACAATATCTAGATCGGAGAATTTTTGCATCTCATTGTTTCACAACGAGATCTATCGATTAAAAATATTTTCAATATGGCGGCACTTCCGGAAATATCGGAAGTTGACAACAAATTTCTTATTTTAAATGGGTGTTTGAGAAAAAAAAAATTTTAATTTTTGGACGAAAAAAACTACCTGTCAAAAAAATCTGTATAGCCTAAAAGTAACATTTAGTGATTACCACAGTCACTGTGATATAAAGAGAAGGCATGTGGCTATGTATTTCAAAAATTAAATTGTTCAAATGTCATATAATAATGGCGGTAGCTGCCATGGAATTGAGCGATTAAAAAATTATCATAAATCATTTTTTTCAAATGGAAACCCACTTTTTTTATTTCACTACTGAAAAGGTTTTCCAATTCGTTACTTTTTGATACATGTTCCTATACCTAAAATAAATCATTTTTAAGTTATTAAGATTTAGTTTGAAAAGGTATTTTTTTCTTGATTTTATCTAGCTTCCTTTGACATTAAGTGTCTAACAGTCAGACAATTTGCCTGCTTAAATGTTTAAAAAGTGTATTTATAAAAATATATTTTCGCTCTTTAGTGATATCTAATAGTTGATATTATTAATGATATACCGTATGATCGAAAAAAAAAACAGAGCAAAGTTGGCTTGGAAATAATGACCGATAACATACTGCTTTTTGAACAAAGTGTCACAATATGATATGGCCAGATCTATTGTTTTACATCACTTGACGTTTAAGATCATAGGCTACTGGTTAAAATCAATAAAAATATACACTTTAAAACTAAATCTTAAATAACTTAAAAACAATTTATTTTAGATATAGCAACATGTATAGTCAAAAAGTAACTAATTGAAAAGCCTTTTCACTAGTGAAATAAAAAAAGTTAGTTTCCTATTGAAAAAAATGATTTATGATAATTCAATTTAATTAATCGCTCAGTTCCATGACAGCTACCTCCATTATTATATGACGTTTGAACAATTTAATTTTTGAAATAGATAGCCACATGTCTTCTCTTTATGTCATAGTGACTGTGGTAATCACTGAATTTGACGTTAATCTATACACATATTTTTGCCAGGCAGTTTTTTTCGTCCAAAAATTTTAAATATTTTTTTTCTCAAAAACGGTTAATGTTAGGTATTCAAAATTCATAAAATTTTACAGAGAATTTAAGTATGTAATAAAAAATTGGGGCACCCATTTAAAATAAGAAAGTTGTTGTCAACTTCCGGTATTTCCGGAAGTGCCGCCATATTGAAAATATTTTTAATCGATAGATCTCGTTGTGAAACAATGAGGTGCAAAAAATCTCCGGTCTAGATATTGTAGTTCTCTAGAAACTTCTAATGCACGCTCAGCTTGGGACACCCTGTATACATTAGGATGCACTGAAAAAAATATATATTGTTTAAATTGCCATGAATATATCGTTCACGATGATAAGAAAAATTCTGGTAAAATTGGAGCTCTCAATATTAATGTTGCGGGCCGGTGTGGACTCGACCTAACCTCACAATATGGCCCGCCCTCGGATGACCTTAACATCGCATAGACACCGCAATGATTCATTCGTTCGAGAAGAATCGAGACCCACTAGAATGGACGCGTACATACGAGAACATTCGAAAACCTTCTCTATGCGCCTAACGATCTTTGGACTATTCTAGATTTCTTTTACCTGTCGGTATAAAAGCCGGCGGCAGTGGCCTAGAGAGGGCAGTTATAAATATATCAGTGCAGTTGACGCGCTAAAATTCAAAATAAATTCTTAGTTATAAATCGTTTGTAAATAGTTCTATAAGTCTTTTATCGTTATTGTTTTTGTTAATTAGTGTTAAATAAATAGTGTTTAAATAAATTGTGACTTTCTATCCACACGGAACCGACGAAAAACGTAACAAATGGTGTCAAGTGTGGCGTGTGTGATAGACTAGAAGAATAAAAAGACTGACCATGGCTCTGAAAAAATTGTTGAAAGACTTGAAAGTGTCCGAACTGAAATGCATATTGGGAAGAGAGAGAGTGCGAGACAGATGGAAAGAAAAGCATTTTGCAAGCCAGACTGAGAGACGTTTTGGTGGAGGAAGGTGAGGATCCTGAAACATTTTGCTTTGAGTTGGAAGGTGACCTTGACTCGTCCTTACAAAAATTAGAAGATAAAATTACGAAAATTCCGGGAATTACAAGACAATTTAAACGACAACTTGAACAATTTGAATAGTAAAATGATTAACTTGGAAGTTAATTTAGAAGAGAAAATCAGTGATAAAATTAATATTTTGGAAGATAAGATCGCAGAAAATTCTAAAGACATACAGGCCAGCTTTAATAATAAAATACTTAATTTAGAAGAAAAGATAACAGAAAATTCCAGGGAATTAGAAGAAAGATTATAGAGAATTCTACGGAGCTACAAGACAAAATAACACAAATTGAGGACGATGTAAATAAAAAAATCGAAATTTTAAAACAAGAAATAGAAAAGGCCAATTCACCAAAATGTCAAGAAACATCGGAGGCACCGAAACTAGTCGAAAATAAGTATATCTCAAAGTCAGTTATTAAGCCTCCACAGTTTGACGGAAAAACCGCTTGGGCCAATTATTTTTGCCAGTTTGAGGCCGCTGCGAGAGCGAACGGATGGACAATCGCTGAAAAGGCTACCGCTTTGACTGTCGCACTGCGAGGAGATGCGACTGATATTCTGCAGACATTGTCACCATCGGAACAGGGAGATTATCAGCAATTGGTACGACATTTAGAAATGAGGTACGGCCAAGCTCATTTGGAACATGTCTATCATTCCCAGCTAAAAACGCATTCAAAAGTCAAATGAGTCTCTGCAGGAGTTTGAAGCCGACGTAGCCCGCCTCGTTCGCCTTGCGTACCCTGCTACGCCAGAGAATGTTATGGAGCGGTTGGCAGTACAGGCATTCTCCGACGGCTTACGTGACAACGAGACAAGACAAGCACTTCTCCTAGCCCACCCAACGCACTTGGTGGATGCTTTAGCACGTGCCCTAGAATTTGAGGCCGCGAAACAAAGTTCTCGGTCTCTAGTGAGAGTACGGGCGGTCAACCAATGTTCCGACGAATCCGTGGAAAGCATTGTGCGGAAAGTCATGGAGGAGTACATGGGCAAGAAAGGACCGACTTGTTGCTGGAATTGCGGCCAGGCAGGACACGTAAGAAGTCACTGTAAAGAAAAAGACGTGGACCCGGTTTCGCCAAGTGTCGAATCAAAGGGACGCATATCGAGCAGTACCCAACAGGTTCCAACCAAAACTGCTCAAGTCGCATCGCTACAACACAAGTTCAACAGCATTTTTGTGGATGGTTTCGTGGATGGAGAGTTACGAACCATGCTTTTGGATACGGGTGCAACCAAAACGATCATCAGGCCGGATATCCTTAAAACATCAAAAAGGATTAAAACAACACAATGGCGACTACGTACAGCTACAGGAAGCTCCGCTCTCATCCATGGAGAGGTAGATCTTAA